TTGTTAACACATGTCAAACTTTTTGTATCTCAATGTACAATTGATGCGGATGAGAGTAAGACTATGTCATCACTTTCATATGACAAGGCAATGTATAGCGTGATATATTTGATGATTTTCATTAAACAGGATATTGCTTTAGCTATGAACAATGTGATCAGAAACATGTTAAATCTAAAGAAGATGCATTGAAAAGCTATGAAATGATTTTCTAGATTTCTCAACATTATTAATTATTATGTTTAGTTTTCATGATCTATAACACAATGGCAAATTCTTGTTGGTTTACATTAAGATTGACTACAGACAAAATCGATGACAATACAATTGTACATTCACATCACTACCATCACAAATATATATTATGGCACATTAAATCTCAATTTTTCATCTAGGCATTCACCCTCGGGTTGTTTATTCAATAATTGTCTGGTTAAAAAAATACATGACATATGCTCATCATATAATTTCATTTATAGATTACATATTCATCTAACTTACCAATTCACTTCTAAGTCAATGTTCTTGACACATTCAGAAGCCTCTAAGAATATGAAAGATAACCTAAAATCATAATCTGGGTTCAGTATGTGGATTATACTTTTGTGAATGAGAATTTAATGACATCCTCAACTCAAGATGAAGGTGATTGACATACATTTCATATGTAACAAGGGCACACAGACATCTGTAGAGAAATGAATATTTCCACCTCATTGAAGCTTGAAAGAGCTACATCCGAAATGAGAAATAAATTCGTTCCTCGACGGTAGCCCCAAACCCTTGTGACTTTTTTTCTAAATGAGCACTAACGCACCAAAGTCTCCAATATTTTTCTTTGCAGATTTGGTTTTGCAGAAAAATGAAGAATACACTGAAATAAGTGATACTATATATAAAGAATTTGAAGATTCACAACAGGACTCACATTTATCATGCCAGGGTAAGTCAAACATACCAGGGTAAGTCAAAGTTCTCGTTTTAAAACAACCAGCTTTAAATTGATTCGATGATTCACAACACACGGAAGAAGTCGGTAACTATTTCTCCATTGACTCCTACAACTTTTGGACAAATACTTTCAAAGTTTTATGACAATTTTAGTCCCAAAAACAGACAAACTCTTTTTCATATAGTAGAGCAGAGTCCCTGCCTTCGGTGGATTCCACAATTGACTGCAATACTGGTATCAGTGAGTGAGAGGGAGGGAGAGTGAGTGAGAGGGAGAGAGAGAGAGAGAGAGAGAGTGTGAGTGAGTATGTTTGTGTGTCCTTGAGCATATGATATTTGAGATACTCAAGGCAATATGCAGGAGAGACGATTCGTTTTGAGTACAAAATCTTAGAAGGCCGTGCTTGACCAACATTTGTTTCACGCAATCGAGAAATTTTCTAGAAAGAATAATCTGAGCAGTCGCCTGCCACTTCAATAAGCTTAGACAGTGGATATCAGGTAGAATTTACTGCTAGTATACAGCTTGTCGTAACAAGCCACCATCTGATGCACATTCGAGCAATTTGAGCTCTCAGCATGTGAGTCTAGGGATATGTCAGAATGTTGTTGCTCAGATAATTTTATGAGACACATGTGACCAGGAAACTGCAGTACCTGATCGTCTGCAACCTTTGTTGAATGTAGGTCACCATGGTAACATTTTCTAACAGACAAACATGTAAAATCATCGATAGATTATGTGATCATAACGATATTGTATTTAGTCACGTAAGTCGGTGAATTGCGCAAGAGTCTAACTACAGAGCAAAGAGTTTCAGTGCCGTCATCGATGTATAAAGCAGGCTGCTGTAACAAAGAGGGGACTCCTCTGATCAATCGCTGTATCTCTTGTATCAAAACGTTGATGGTTGATTGACATTAGTGAAGTTTGCATCTGCTTCAAACGATCCATATAGTACGTGTCTTATATTTCTCTTGAGATCAATAACCTCGCGGGTACCAGTGGTGAAGCCATTAAAAGTCAGGACCGGCGTTTCCGATTTAGAGAATCTATGTCAAATCCCAATCGCATACTTTGGTAACGCATTTCCACCTCCAAGATGCTAATAAAAAAAATGATTATATGCTCTAAACATGCAAGCACATACCCCTTGATTGACTTATCAAGAGGTATGTGCGAGTGCATGCAGCTTGCAGTAGATAGTACTTCAGTGGCCGTAGGACCCTGGACTCGAAGTAAACTGAAGCTGTTCGATGTGCCAGGCATCTGCAAGACGTGTCGTTCAGCACACACTAGTTACGAGTATTCATTCAACAGAGACTGTTGAAGCTATAGTTTGCTATACGAGACAATGAGGTACGCGATCAATAACGTCAGTTGCATAAAGTCATATTACTTTGAAACGTCATGAAGACTGGGAACGTTCTCCTTGTTGTACTCTTAATTTTCCATTGACTGGATTGCTCACTTGTCTACAAGCAACGATGCTTAGTAATCTTTTGTATTATATATATATACACTTACTTTCTAAACCACATATATAGACGGTGGCCAAAGTAGAAGTAGTAGAAAGGGTGTTTGCTGGTTAGAACCATACGTGTCTTGTGATCCAATTACAAAAGACATCGACTTAATTCTCGGGGTGTACCTCTGTAATATTCTTGCGAATTTTCGGCGATGTTATGATTATTGACCCGAACCATGAGAAAGGTCATGTGATTTGCCGTTTCTTTCATGTCTTAAACCCGCAATTGAATACTACATTGCAAAACAAAAGAACTACACTGTTCCTCTGAATGCTCCCTGGCACCACCAATGACTGCACATGAAATAAGTAGATGCTGAACAGTTTAGGATACAACGCACCTCAGAGCAGGGTGATCATCACATGCACTGCTCAAATGGCATGCACCATTTACAGAAGCATTTCAATTGTCAGACGCCCAGAGTGTTCAAAGTTATCCTTCACGCCACACGATATCAGAAAAGGTGAAAATTCCTAATATGTTTTAAGTGCACAAAGTGATAGCTAGATGATACGAAAGGGCAGCAAAAGCGAAGAAGGGCAGAGGAAAACCATGAGGAGCCACTGCCTCTTAGTAACTCACGGACTATATGAATTGCACCAAAATACTGCAGTCAGGGTTCTTGTTCATCCTTGAATCAAGTTGTAAAGTTCCTTTAATCTTCGTCATCAAATGCGAGATTTATTGTGTTGAAAATTCCATAAAGCAATATACGAACAGTCTTACATTCTGTTATTCCGCATGCCGTCTTACTAAAATCTGGTCAACTCAGAACATGTATTTTTGAATCGCCGCCGCTCAACTCCAGACAAAGAGTGGCGGGTGACCAGGAGTGCTTCATGCTTTGACTTAGAGACCCATTTGCTGTTCATCAGCGGAACATCCATTACCTCCAACCCTTCCATTTCCCTTTCTTACTCATACGGAAAGCAGCAAAAGCATCTCGCGATGTTTGAGTTTGGGCGATTATGCTAAACGCGTGATTCCGCTTATACACGGGCTCTCCTGAAGTTGCGATATTAAATCACAGAATACTTTACACTTTTTGTTCTCTTGCGAACATGTCATACGGCCTGAGAACAGTAACGTATGCGGGGCCGATTGATGAAATCATGACCTCCTCGTCAGACCCTGTGCCATGGCCTAGCATTGCGGGTCCGCGGAGCTCAGATACAACAGGAAGTGATAAGCGAGATTGCCAGCAAAAGTTTTTTATTTGTGTCTGGGGCAATATGGCGCTTCAGTGGAATCAGAGCAGCAACCCAGCCACGAGCGTCTGACTAAATATTCTTTTATTGCAATGTTCAGTTTACAGAACCACGCTGCTAATTTAATGTTCTTTGTCCAATCTCAGCTCAGCGTACTTCAGGCGAACTGCACAGCGACAGAGTGGTTACGGATGAAGCTGTTGTCATCACGATCATAAAAAGAAATATCACCAATGGTGGGCTTGGTGAGCTGAGTGACTTGACGACTGGATTCTAATATTGACCTGTTTCCTGTCAGGGAGTAAAACATAATGAACTCAATGTATGCGCCAGGAAAGTATTTCCTGCATCGATACGGCAGGTCCTAAGCTACTGTCGGTTGGGAATGGCCGCGTACGCAGTTCTTCTGGTCTTTTAAAACGTTGAAGTCAGCTGAAGTGTCTCACCCTCCGCCTTCATCGGAGTCAATGTCTAATCATCAAGATTCGTGCACGATAGAGTCCATCCCGATAACGAATGGACGTCGAAATCAGAGTTTTATGCAGGCATTTACAATTCGAACCAACCAACGGAAGTACGAACGGAAGTTAGATACCTAAGCTTTGGCACATGAGTTCGATTGTTCAAGTATCCTGAAGCTATTTGCTTTTAATTTTATGTACAACGCAAATGAACCTTACTTTAAGAGTGACAGTACTGAGAAGGAGCAGGATCAGGAGAATCACCGGCAGTTGTTCAGCAGAAGCTAAGATGAAGAAGTGTCAACCTGTGGGGTGTGGGTTTGAAATGCTCAAAAAATACCCTCGTCCTAGATTTTCACCGGGTTCAGAATAAAGATAAGAGTTTCGCAATCAGCACAGCACCGTCCTCTGAGGATTTGCTGTCACTACAGGGGGAAATGAAAGTCTTAGCTCCGAGAACAGTAGTGACCAGTCAGACTTTAAATTCCACATACATACTCAAGGAGAATCCACCGATGGGAAAAAGACTGCCAGAAAGAAGAAGGAATCAAACAAAGCTCTATGCGTTTGACCAGCTGTCTGAGCATGGCCCTAGATATCAAAGTCGTGCGGATGCCAAAACGATTCTCATGACACAGGTCTTGTTGTTTCGCAAGTTACTTGACAGTGGCAATGCCGACTTAGTATTTCAGGCGGATGCTGAACGCCTCGAGTTTTCGTCCAGTTAAGCAACGAGCAAATGATCGAAATACAGTTCTAGATTCATCGGGTAGGGCTAGGTCCCGATCTCACCGGTTAGCCATTTCAATAAAATTTCTATTCGATGGGATTGGAAACCACAACACCTGTCATGACGAAGGTTACAGCAATATGGTTTCTAGCATTGGCAGCAACGTTGAGCTTTCAGGAAAGGCCCACTGGCAATCTTGTGTATGCAGATAACTTCACCATTGGAACAAGCGCCGTGCCTTTCAGCTGCAGCGACGGAGGAGACATTTCATGCGGGGGAGCCGTTTCTATCAACCAGTTATCGGGAGGGATTATATTGCTGGCCCCTTCTTCAAACAGGTCTCAGCCCGGATCATGGGGCACGGCTCTGACGTCCAAGCCCATCGACCTGCTGGACCCGCAGACAAAAGCCTGGCATTCCTTCAGCACCTTCTTCCAGTTTATGATCACTTCACTGCGCGGGGACTGGGCAGGCGACGGCATGGTGTTCGCGCTGCTAGGAGACGGTGGGTTCCGTGGAGTAGCAGGCACAGGCTTCGGAGTGTACAACGAGTCCAAGCAAGTGGTGAAGACGCTGGCGGTGGAATTCGACACGTTCTTCACCAAGGCTGACGAGAGAGTTGGGGACGTAGACAGCAATCACGTGGGCGTGGACACAGAGGTCAGCCAGTCCAAAGCTTCGAAGTCCGCGAGTAATTTGGGCATGAAGCTCTTCGGCAACCAAGTCTTTGTCTGGATAGACTACGATGCTCTGACGCAGATCTTGGAAGTCAGGATCAATTACTTGAAATTCCCCAAACCCGCTGTCTCTTTTCTGAACACCACCATCAATCTGACGGAAGTCTTCGGAAGCTCCCCCATCTACGCGGGCTTCTCGACAGCAAACGGCGCCAGCAACAAGAGCGGAATCTACCACATCGCCGAGTGGAGCTTCGAGCATTTCCCCGCCGTGGGCTCGGCGGGGTCCCAATTTAACCCCGGCAGCCGCTCGTTGAACGGCACTGGAAGCAGCACCAACGAGGTGGCGTTGATCGCAGGAGTCACGGCGGGTGCCTTCTTCCTCCTCCTTCTAGCGGGGCTCCTCGTCTTCTGCGTCTGGAGACGAAGCGATTCCCGCTCGCGCCTGAGAACGGGCACGGGCCTCACGAGCTCCATCGCCATGGGGCACAACAGTCTACAATACACCTACGACCAGTTAAGGCATGCCACTAGCCAATTCAGCTCAAAATTGGGCCAGGGAGGATTTGGGAGCGTGTACGAAGGGTGGCTGCAGCCGCCTCGCGGAGGCAAGCCGCAACACGTGGCCGTGAAGAGAATGGTCGAGACCTCGACTCCAGGCGAGTTCGAGTCCGAGGTGCTGACGGTGAGCGAGGTCCGCCACAAGGGCATCGTGAAACTGCTCGGTTGGTGCAGCCACGAGGGCGTGTTCCTGATCGTCTACGAGCTCATGCCCAACGGAAGCTTGGACAAGGCGCTCTTCTACGCCGACGACGGCTATGTGCTCCCGTGGGAGAGCCGGATGAACATCCTCAAGGGCGTCGCGGAGGCTCTGCACTATCTTCACGACAGTCACGACCAGAAGGAGCAGATCATTCACAGAGACATCAAGACCAGTAACATTTTATTGGACGCCGACTACAATCCGAAATTGGGTGACTTCGGGCTGGCGCGGGTGTTGGATCGAACCAAGAACCCCGCGCCTATGACGGTGGCCGGAACGCCAGGATTTCTTGCGCCAGAGGTCTCAGTCGACGAGACGTTCACGACGAGGTCCGATGTGTACGCGTTCGGAATGGTCGCTCTGGAGATCGTCACGGGACGGCAGGCGATGACGCACACCGAGTCGCTCAAGGACATCGTCTGGAAGAAGCGCGAGGAAGAGACGCTGCTGTCGTGCGTCGATTTTAGGCTCGATAATCTAGGCTACGATCAGCGAATGGCAGAGAAGGTGCTGGGGCTGGGGCTGCTGTGCTGCCTCTACGACCCCCATGCGCGACCCACCATGAAAGAGGTGGTGGAGATTCTGGCGGGGAGCAAGCCTCTGCCCGACGTTCCAGCTACGCAGCCGCATCCAAATTTGGATCACCATTTGAAAACCATCATGACGCTCGATACGACCATTCAACGGCTCCAAGACGACGCGGTCATGGGCCATTCCTCCTTCCGGCACTCGAGAACGTCGACTTCCTCGGAGCCCCCTGCCGCCAGCAACTCATCCACCTCGATCTCTACGACGTCGGCCTCGAGTACAATTAGATCCTCGGCGTCGACGTCCATGTCGAAACCGTCAGGCTGATGGTTCTTCTCATGCAATACCATTTTCTTCGACTTCGCCTCCTGTACGGCTACACGGGTACGGAGCAATGTATATGATGCGATTCCGTAGGCTGGCCAGATCCGTGGATAGGTACGTAGAACTTTGGAAGTCAGCTCCGAGTCATACGTGCCGCACAAAACTATGCCTTTCATTTTTCACCCGGACGAGCCAGAATATTTTTAGAGCCTGCCTTCGTGACACCCAAGAATAAACCAAAGCTAGCAGTTTAGAATTTGCTTTTGTGAGGACCAGTACGTTCAGATTCACCCAGATGTACGTTGTAACTAGCCCACATCCTTAAAACCATTCTGTTTAAATCCTTGGCCTATAGATTTTAATGCCTACAGCCTCGAGATGAATTTTGCCCAGGCATTCAGTCGTACGGGACGTAGAGGTAGGTACAATAACATAGAAGTTAGCTACAGTAGCTGTGCGTTTATTTTTCCTCATCGCTGCCTCCGAAAGGCTGTGGTGATGAGATTGGTTAGGCAAGAAACCCTGTATACTGAAGCACGATACGTGCTTAGCAACCTTCATGTAAGAATTCAGCAATAAGCTTCAAGTCTATAGTTTGGGAAGTCATGCCGAGAGAGAAATGATAATATGATCACATACAGGAGATCTGAAGTCACAGTTTGTGGCTAGCAGTCGACATCCACTGAGTATTTCTGACATTTGACTAAAAGAATCAGTGAGTGCTGAATGAATTTTTGAATCCAGTGTCTGTTTGAATCTATTCTACTACCGTCGTAATGTATTCGCTGACATTCGTGACATGTCGCACCTAGACCCGACATCGATTCTCTTCATTGACCTCGTCTGTTACAGTGAGAATGTCATTTTGTGTCACCTGGACGATGAGCACAAAACCAATAGTTCATGTTTATCTTCCTGCATTGGATGAAGATCACACGTGACATGAATGGCGTAAGAGACTGAAGGGAGTGCACTCAGTTAATTCTAGTGTTGTTACTGTTGACAATGATTCGGAATAAGCTTTCTTGTCAGGAGGATGAAGAGAAAAACTGCTAAATGTTCACGCTAGTCTTCATGCTTTAGATGAAGATTATAGGCAGGGACTTCAATCTCGCACAGAGCCAACATTGGGTGCCCATGCCCAAACCGACCCATACCCATGGGTTATGGGTGGGCACAAGTAGTGCTAAGGGCACTGTTTGTCAAGATCCAACCAAGAATTTGCGTAATTTGAGTAGCATGGGTGGGCATGGGTAGGCTTAGGTCGCTGCTGATGGTTATGGTCTGGTCTAGGTGCAGATTTGAAATAAAATGTTGGCCTCTGATCTCGTATAACATGTCACATTGAAATACTCTTAAACAGTTGTATTTGTTAAGCTAGACAGGAATAAATGGACTTTCCGCACGCAAAAATTATCGGGGCGTCGCAAGTCATTATCATTCAAGGTCAGTAGGAAAAGTTTGAAGATTCTGAATTGCAAAGCATCAGTGCCATTTCGAATTAATAGTCGGATTCCAAGATCTAGAAGTGCATGTCAAGGTAACCACGTTCCCTTGACTCCATCGAGCTTCAACCTAAGCCCTTTTGTCATTTATTGCACTCTAATGGACTGCACACGAAGAATTCACGGAAGGACGTTCCGATGGCGATTAAAATTGTTAGTGGCCAGTCAGGCTTAATACCCATGCTTTATTACGTAATCAGTGCGTGACATGGATCGCTGCAACTCCCGCTGAGTATTGTCATCCAATTCTCCATTGATTTGGAAATTTATATTATGGTCAAGAGAATACAATATCTATGTTTTAGCCAGCTACGCAATTTAGGGACCCCCTATACGTGATTGTCGATTTACCATACAGAGGACCATAGTTCTGTCGCTTGTCTTTTCTCATTCTGGCTAATGTCATGCTCTGAAGTTGTCCTATTCATTTCATTGTTTTAGTAACAGCTTCTATGAAGTCTAAAATTTTGCCTCTCGCCTTTTCTCCAGTGATCATTATAAAACAGAGCTCTTCGGACGCTTCATCGGCTGCACATCCTGAATTTATCTCAATGTGAACAAACAATATTTGAGCTGGACTTCTTCTTGATTTCGTGCCTCTTCCACGGCCTTGTACCAAAGGCATGCAATAATCAAGGAGAAACTTGGAGACATATAAAATATCATTATTGCTAGTAATATCAAATTCACAGCAAGGACTATTCATATTTAGGGTTCAGGGACTATCCGTGAACATATCTGCTTGGATTTAGAGTACAAAATATCTAGTACTTGTAAACTTTTATGTTTAGTCTCTCTGATTATGTCAAATTTGCATTTCACTGAATTGCAAAAAATGAGTTTTCAGTGATGTCAGAAAGACCACTGAACATCCCATCTCAAGCATACTTCAATTCTTTTTAATTTGAATAGATGACGAAACAAGTTGGTCCACTCTGTCACCCGTATTAGTACCATGTACTTGTTTCGACGTAAGGCATCAAAGAGTCCCATGTATAGTTCTGCCCTCAGGGTTGGTGGTTTCAAGACAAATTCGATGGTCTTACCCATCGCTTCTGTTTTCCATTTAATACGAATACAAAAACCTACGAGTCGACCGTACTTTACCATATTTCTGCTGAGTATTGTATGAATTTCAAGAGCATCAAACATATTGACGTAGATTCTAACATCAATAAGGCGCAGAACAAATTTCGATTGCTTATGATCAATTGAAATCAGTTGATGGGTAGAGTTCTGTTTTTTTATTTCCTATTAAGAATGAAGCTCTGTCCACATCTCTCCAGTAGTCAAGAAACCTAAGGTGTATCTTAGTCAGCTGTTTGTAATCTGCGATGAAAATACATACATTCACATAATATCCAAAGACTAAAATTTGAGAAAATCAATTTCCTTAGGACCAGCTATACTGATGTGCATCATACAAGAACGTAGTACCCATCTGTCTACAGTAGAGTCAACAATCTATAAGTCTTACCTAATCAGCCAAAAATGGGGAATGAATCTTTATCCTGTAATTCTACAGGTCGATGAATATAAACTTCGGAAGAAACTTTTAAAATGTCTTCCTTACGTCAAGCAAAAATGATTCGCATAAGTATCAAGTGCTATCCATCTTTCTACAGCACAGTGGCACAAAAAGCAGGTTGACTTCCATATCAGTCTGCTGCAGGCGTCCTTGCATGCCGAACATAGAGTCAAGTGCTTACACGGAATCGCTATTCACGAAGATTGTCGCTCACATTGAGACACACAAGAGGCACAGAAGCACTGTTGGTCCTGCTGGTCAGTCCGCTTAGCGCTAAATAAGCTCCAGTGTTCTCTTCGTAATGACCCTTGATCCATGTGTCCTCCGTACGAATTTGTAGTACGAGCTCCACCCTGAGTTACAATAGAAGAGAAGGTAGGACAAAAGTATAAGAGTTCAAGTCAAGCGTTTATAATCGTAGTTCAGTTTCAAGTAAAGATTTGGATCAAAAATATTTCTTGTCATTGTAATCATTCCTCACTTGCACTATTGGATCTCTGAGTTCGTGATCAGGAGATCGTGAAAAGCACATTCATATATGAAGCTCATATGTGGTAAAATTGATTCATTGAAGTCTTACAACATCAGGTGTCATTCCTTACCTCAAGTTCACCGTACTCTGGTGCTAAGTACTGCCCCAATATGTTCGGTCTATCTTGAATGTTGGTAAGATTCTGCCCCCAAAGGATGTATGGAGCTGAGGATTCTTCGTAGTTCAACAGATTCGTCGCCTCATGGTCACGGACGTCCTTGACTGCAGATGTGAGTTCTACTTTAGAGGATGTACCTGGAGTATTTGTTGATAGTCTCATGCTGTTGTACGGATCTTGACAGAAGGATGAATCTAAAGAGTCAGGAAAGCGACCAAAAATCTCAGGATTTCCAAAGGCATTGGAAGTATTGTCATATACGTTACTCCCATTGATAAAAACTGGTCCTCTCTTGTTCCACCAAGAATCTTTGCATAAAATCTCGTTTTGTTTCGCAACAATATCCTGCAATAAAATAATTCGCTCTCTTAAGTAATTCAATTCCAAGCTGCAAATGTTCTGAGGCTCAGTGGATGCTCCATTCTGACTCCCACTCGAGATAACTGATGCCCTCATGTTAGGTGATCCGGCTGACTGGGGATGAGTGGATGCTGAAGTGAAATTATCAGCAGACTCCTTAGTGCTTGATAACTCAGAACAGGTACATGCAGCAGCAGCATCTTTTATATTTGTGTTACGGGCACTCCCTTCATATTTTACAGCTGGGTACGAAAGGCCAGTTTCCACCAAGGATGCCGTAGGACTTTCTGAGTTGATTTCTTCCGTTTTGAGGCCATGCGTATGCCATGTGATCATTCTCTTCTTAGCAGGAAGAAGCACAATTTGAGTGGCATGTCCGAGTCCTACAGGTGCAATCTTCATCTTACATAGCTCGGGGAGCGTTCTTAGAAAGTCGTTGAGTTTCATGTAACCTATGCCCTTATGGTCAAGCTCTAAACCGCAAGTGGCGCGGAAATCTCCTTTCAGTGAAGACATTGGATACCATTCTCCTCCTTTTAGGCGATTTGACACTTCGGACAGGAATTTGGGAAGCCACTGTTTGAACCTGGGAACCCACACGTCTGGATTCCACCGTTGAGTTAAGTCCTCCGAACTGCAGCTCGCTGGTGTGGGAGGAAGAGTATCTGTTTTGGAGTTTAAGTGCAAATTTGGTGAGTACATCTTGCTTTTTGATGTTGACCTATTAAGTCACACTTGATTGGATTTGCCAATAGAGATGATCGTCAAAGGGATATGGCTTCTGGGTTGCAAGGATTTTACCGCTCTCTTTCAATACTTCAGCTGATTCTTGATGTTCTGAATTGGACACCTCTTCTGCATTCCCAAGGTGATGGCGGGCAATAGCACTTTTAATCTCTACCTGCGCACGAGGCATGAAGCGTTCATTTGGTTTAAACAAAGAAAGAAGCTATATATATATATATATATATATATATATATATATATGAAAACGTTTAAAGTCAATGATTTGAAGAAAATGCTCTTTTACTAACTCAAGTTCAGTTGTGTTCTATCGTACTATTTAACTCAGAACGCAGTCCTCTCTGAATCTTTACTAAAATCAGGGGGTAAAGTCGAAAATTATTGTCTCAACTATGCGATCTGACTGTAATAGTCTTTCATACATCGCTTCTTTAGAAATGACAAATGTTTAGCAATATTTGTTTCTTTCTTGCAGGATTCTTGAGATTTTCTTCTGAAAAAACACCATGAGCAAGAATTTCCAACAAATAGTGCAACCAAAGTTAAATAATTTTTTCATCTAATTCAGCTCGCTTGTATATTCATAATCAGCTGGATGGAAGACTGAACTGTAAGATGACAAATAAACAACTTTCTAAAAGTTGAACAAATAACAGTGCGTAACATACCTTCCTGCCGAATATCTGAGCATAATGAGCGTGCACCGCTGATGAAGCGGATGACTCGTGCTTAAATGTCACGAAACCGAATCCACGAGAATGAACTTGTGCACTGGCGTGGTTCTTAATGACGACTGCAGAAACAACTGGACCAAAATTTTCCTCAAAAGCTTCTTTTAAATCATCTGTGAATCATGATCAATTACTGAATCTTGTTAAAAATCGCTTTGAAGAGATTGTATATACTGAGTTAAAGCAAGAAAGAGAAAAGCAGTAAATCACCTGATATCTTTATGATAATATTGTATTTTTATTCATATCAGGTATTCCCTATAGTATATTCCTGCACATTTATTTCCTCCAGTGAACAAGAATACATCATGCTGCTTGCTGAGCTGCAAACTTGTAGTCTAAAATATGGCCTCTCTTCACCCATTGAAAACCTTTCTCTGTTGATTTATCAAATGCTGATGAAAACGAGAAATGGTATAGTTCCCACCAGAATCGACAAAAGGTGAGAGACCTCCCACAAAAACTCTTCGATTCAACAATTCATCTGCAGAATATGAATTCTGTACCATTGCAGACAGCAATTAGATACATTAAATATAATCTGTAAAATATGTGCCAGATTTGATGAATCAAGGACTCTAAGTGAATGCGTTGAAAATAGGAAAGCCAAATCGAGGATTATAATGGATGGAGTCAACCATCTCTAAGCTGATTGTCATGATAAGACCCATACGTCAGATTCGTAAATTTGTTCCCACGGTCGTAATACTTGTCGTGATTGTCTGGAATAATTTCCAGATTCTTCATGGTTAGCACTGAAGTTTTTATCGTCATGAACACATCCTCCTGGCATTTCGAGTGACATAGTCCCGTCTTAGGTGGTTCAAGGATTTTCAAGAAGACATGCTGCAAGTTTGCACACGACGGGGAGATTAGCTCAGCTAAGAATCTACACATAAGCGAGACTGAAATATGAGATTAATCAAAGTCGCTTAGGTCCTAGATTCAAGAAGATTTATTCATGCGACTAATGAATAACGGCTGCAGTGACCAGAATCCATGATACATAGGATGTCAATATAGTCACATGAGAGAAAACGTCTCTACAACTCAAAGTTCAGACACCAGCAATGAGTAGTTTATGAGAACGAGGTATGGGTACATGCTTCTTCAAAATGAGTAGACTAAATGAAAGTTCAATTGATTCAGATCTCGAATCTGCTCTACGTCTATGGCGAATTTTAGAAGCAGTTTCTTCAAATGATAAATCAAATCATTCCCAACCGTTTGATGTTTCAATCCTCGAAATGGCTACTGTTTACATTCCACATGAATCAAATCTCTCAAAGCAGAACATATTTTTCTCCTCTATGCACAATATTGAAGCTTTTTCTTCTCTAGTTTCCTCTCAATTTGATGGCTAAGTAATCATCTAAAGGTTCTATCTTTAAAAAAGCGGTGCACAAGATCAATTTACTAAACAAAGTGGAATCACAATTTGATGACGGAATTGATTGTATACCAGCTTAATCTGGTAACAAAACAAACTCCAGACTTGACCAAAAGCTTCAACTTAATGTACTTAGGTTGATTGCTGCCTTAGTATTACTGAATCACATTCTCTGCCTCGTATTCAATCTCGCTTTGAATCTTTTCAATATCCTGTAGGATGCCTTTGACAATTACTGCGCTGGATACAAAAGTTTACACGAGAAGACTTTTGAGAAAGGACATGAGAGAGTGGAGATGCAAAAGAAGATGTAGAAAAGAAATGGGGGTCAGTTGCATGGAGGCTTCTCAGAATGTGTTGATTTGTAGGTCTGAGTTCGAGCGAATCACACTTGCTCTTCCAGACTGAATGTGGTTTCTGATTGCCACTTGTGTATGAGAGTAGCACTGGAGTCTGCTCACGATCATGAGTAACATTTGTGCCGCTGACAAGTTGCACTTTCCACTTGATCTCACTCTACAAGCCTGTCTATGTGTTTTCGATTCAAGGGTTCAACTCCACTGAAAGTAATCCTATATATAAAAAATTTATGCTCCTTCTAGAATCTGTTCAAAGATGCCAATGTGCCATCTCACTGAAGTTTGGCCCTAGTTACTCATGTACAAGTCTATCTCATACCAACTTGTACACTGATTCCTACTGTATGAGCTGTTAAATTCGATCACACGAACAAAATATCATGTCATTTTTTGAGCATATTAGATTACTTGACAATCCTCAGTGAACCCGAAGGCAGCTGGATATATCTCAAGCATTCGCTTTGTCATCACAACTTCGCTTTGTGTGTATGCGCTAGTTACTATTTGAGAACCGGTCACTCTTGAAGAATCCAGTCTCAGTTGTGAGAAAGGTGTTTAGAAGACTAAGTGTGGTAAAACAACTCAGAAAATTCATATGTAGTCCTTTATTGAGTCAAGTATATGTCTTGATCTATCCGATAATACATATGTAGTGAATTTTTGGTAATGGATGCTCTCCTGTCCCGCTGACATAGTCTGGACCTGCAGAGCTTGCTACTCCTTTCCTTTGCGCAGTAGCACAGATTGCAAACATGCCCCCATTACCAAGATGTAACGGCAGCTCCTTGAACAATTCGAAAAGTTCGGTGCCTTGTGCCGTGTGCGTTGAGACCTTCTGTTCCTCTATCATCAACGGCCTACATGTTTTCAGCTAGAATCCGAGATCTTTCGATGTCAAGCGCATTTTCTGGTTGTTTTTCCTATCTATGATGCGTTTCTTTTGATTTAACAGAGACTGCTTTTTCCGACCTCGTTGCTTCCAATGCTTTGTCTAACGCTACCTCCCCAACTTGCAAGTTCAGATTGACAGCCCACAGTAAACTCAAATTCAAAATGTAAAAGCCTTGAGGCATGTCATTAGGACTTAGATCTCCCGCAAAACCGATTATATTAAAGACAACAATGTTATTTAGAGTCAGAGAGTCTCCAAACTATTTTACTACATATGAATGAGCACAGTTACGATTGTTGACCTAGCAAATCTGTGATGCCATGTTTCATGACATCAATAAGGCATGTACAGTTTATGCCGATGTGTTAAAATAGTGTTTGGATATGTTTTAACGCAAAATAAGGAAGTAAAGGTCTCATCTGTAACGCTTCTAAGTTGGGCTCCTCAGAGACCGGTACTTCAACTGCATTCTTGAACCCGTCAAAGTTGCCGACATTGCCAAACTGCCGAAGCGCAACTTGTCTACAGCCCGCAACCTTTTATGGGTTGCTTTTAGCACAAAAAATCAAGGCAAATTTCATCAACTCGCTAAAGAAGGATCGAATTTCTAGCTTTCAGGATGGGAAACAGACGCACCGTCCTCTGAATTAGATGCCTGTTCAATGACTGTTTGAATTTTAAAAAAACTTTAATATTTAAAGAAAAGGTTACTTCATATCCAAATTTGTCATAACTTGTTAGAATCGTATCAGCTTTTCTTATCATAGTGGCCTGAATCTAGTCATTGAAGGTCCATTTCTGTTGAAATTACCAGTATCAAGAATGATTTCTCTAAGAAAAGACTAGTTCGCATATCCATTGGAGACTCGAGGTGTGTCAAATGTGATGTGTGTTTGCCAAAAGCATAGCTTAAAAGCACTAAAATTTACTTAAGAATACAAAACTGTAACAATATGATTATCTTCAATATTAAATTTATTAAAAGCTCACCAGAAACCAACGCCTAACCCAAGTATTGATTCGGCCTTCATATGTTCATTCTCATTACCTCAAGTTGAACTGGGTCATACTTTCATTTGTGATATTCTGTCAATTATAAGGGATATTAGTAGTGGTTCGTTTTGGATATAAGCATTTCATTTCATCCTGCATCGCCGTTTTAGTAAATCTTAACCGATTCAGTAACTAAAGTGTGTTCTCTCTAAACAATCATGAAAACCACAAGACCATCTCCACTTCAGGGTCTTCACCTCTTTTTCTTTGCAATAGTGAATGATGGACAGTATCGTGGAAAACATAGGTAACTTTAATCCTCATGCGAAAGTACACTGATTATTCAAAACCTAGCAGTTCTTTATGTCGCAGCCATCACTTCATACCACATTTTCTCCATTTTCAAGAAAGAGATTTCGTTAGATATCTTTACGTTTTATAGCGGAAACTCGGTGATGTCTGATACATGATAAATCAGAAATGAGAGAGATACGTGCAAAAATAAGGTTCAGCTTGCAATAGACATTCGAAGCATCCCCCGAAGCCTAAATTATGTACCATGTGACCTGCCACTTCTTGAAAATAGTCCTACATGTGGTATAGAGGGAAGATGGCACCCGTGCAAAAATCATTGCTAGCGTTTGCACATATCACTTCAAGATCTCTCATCTGATTTTACATACGAAGTAAAGTCTTGAAAAGATTGTCCAAGACATCGCAATAACGAGCTAAAGGGTATAGACCAATCGATTACATACTATTATAGGTTAGTTTGTATGAAAAAAAAACAAGAAATTATTTTAAGAACATTGTTTGAATACCACCAAGGTAGATGCCAAAATTTTTTTTTACTTAGGGCACCGGCTAGGAAAAAATTATTCCTAGCCGGTGCCCTAAGTAAGACGTGAATTACTAACGACGAATAACTTGGAAAATTTATGAGGAACAACAAAATGAGAGAAAGTCAGATCAATCAGAAAATCAGAAAAAACAGATGCATTCATTTTTTTATTATAAAATTTGAGTTCTGTTCATAAAAATATCAAAGAACATTTTGGACGTTCTTCCTTTCAAGTGTCTAACCTGTGACATACTAGATTTTTTCCATGCAGTCGAAATCTTATAGATAGAGTTTTACACAGTTAATTCAAGTAAATTCTGTTCATGCTTATGTATGCATTCATGCATGCTTCACCATCATTTACTTAAGTATCTATCTTAGGTTCTTTTTCTTTTAATAGAATGTTCAAATATTTCATGGGATATATATATCCAAGATCTGAAATAAGTAATTGATGGTTGATTAATTTTAAGTAGAAACAAAACAAAATTATTTGAATATATAAACTTTATGAATGTTTAACCATTCTCTCTCTCTCTCTCTCTCTCTTTCTTTCTTTCTATCTATATATATATGTATTATTTTAAAAAAATTTCAAAGGAATTTTCTGATAAAAAAATGTAGCAAAATTGAATTTTTTGTCAATCTTGATTAGCTCAATCACTTTACAGACATATCTTAGCTTAAAAAATCGTATATGATTTTCATATGTTTTACATTCAGTTTTCATCACTTGAGTGATGAAAACTTGATGTTATATAATTCTACTACCACAATAAAGATTTAGAATGTCATGTATAAATTTCATTTTCATGACAAACCTGTTAAGCCAAATTAATTTCTTTGCTTCTTGCTGCCTGTACATACTAAGTATCTGTAATATAATAGTTCAAACAACTATAAAATATATATCTCAAACTTATGCATCCCAAGTACCACAAAGTCATACCTATTTGCAGTGTTATTTGCATCTTGATTCTATACATAGTCAACATTTACATAATCAATGAATGCTATGCCATTGCATGATTTAACATCAGATACAAGACTAAAATCCAGGATAATATGAGATAGATAAGAGACCATTTTATGAAACTTCAATGATTCCTTTACAAATTGTTTTTTAGTCTTGTCTATAATAAGAGAGATCTTAGATCTTTTCAAATCATGAAAATCATAGAGCTTGTCCATATCTTGTTGTAAACGATCTTGGACAGCAAATTTTTTCCACAACATTTATTAGACAAAGAGTTGATGAAAGCTTCAAGTGGGATCTAAGGAAAAACTATAATGAAAATTCTCATGTTGAACTTGCAACTTGATATCCAAATTATTTTTCTTGAGTTCATAAGCACTTTCCATCTTTCAAATTTTTTAGTATTTTTATTTCCAACAATCTTCTTAGCTATACCAAGATGTTTCATGCTAAAGTGAAAACACAAGATAACTTGAGCTTATCATCTGTAGTTCTGACGAACGAATTCAAAAAATTACAACTTAACTATTTTTTGTATTCAAAAAAATCAAGAATTTTTTTTTTAAATCTAATAATTTCTTCAAATTAAAAGTCTCTTCCTTAATTCAAATAGATGGATTGAAAATCTTGATGCGTATATTACAATACGGTGAACAGGTATAGAACATTTATTAATAAACATGCACACTCTTTAGAAGAGGTTTAATGTTCACACTCTTTTCAAGATCGATAGGAAAAGTTTTATAGACCTGAAAATAATAAAAGCTTCATTCTGATCAAAGCTTAATATTGGCGGAAATTACTGTATAAAGTGGATTTTTCTTTTTTCATTGCAGCGCACTATTTATGTTAGTTTTCATTACCAGCAACTTGTGAGGTGATTTGAAACTAGAATTGCAGTGATGAATTCAGGAGAAATTTTTGTAAAGCATGTAAAAGACTTGAGACTAAGAATTTGAGCAAACAACTAAACGGCTTGGAGGAAATGACTTACATTTGCAAATTCTAGTTCACATGTATGTTAGAAGCATTTTACTGACTCTCATAGAAATATGATAATAATACATTGGATAAAATGTTAACGCGGTTTCATGGATTGCGTTTATGCTCAGCCATTTCTTCACATCTTATCAAGTGTCTGATCGGATGGAACTAGAAGTTGATACGATCTAAAGTGGCAATGCAGTGATTTCAAAAAAGTTAGAGGTTATAAGTAGACAAATCCAATTTTTTATCCGCCAGACAATGGAGAAGTGTTGAATCAGAAGTGTTAACTGTTAAGAAAGGATTTTGCGAAGAGGTTGTGTCCAAAGGTAATCCAAGGTAATCCTTGTGATTCTGCTAGAAAACTATGAAGACAGATTTTGTCTGAAGATGCCTGTGATAAAGAAAAGGATTGTGGGGATCACATACATACGGCTTAAGGGCTATACATAAATAAAAAAGAAACCATCATAAACCTTCTCCTTTTGCATTTATAT